TAAAAAACATTTAACTTTTTTTACCTATTTATCTTTCGGCAATTTAAATATCCATTAAAAATTAATTTTAATTTTTAAGTCATTTCTAATTCCCATTTCTCACGTGGTGCCGACATTGCTCTAAATCTAAGTGATTTCATTTTTCTTCAGTCTTTCACTCTCATACCACTCCAAGCTTCCAACGATCTCTTCCCGGACGCTTCCCTCCTAGGCTTCAAGCGTCCAACAATCTCCTTCAATCTTATCTCAAAATAAGTATTCTTTGAAGCCTTTTTTCTTAATGTTAAATATCTTTTGGCTTTTCATTGTTTGCCACTAGCTTTACAGACTGTTATTGTTGCCTTATAGATTATGATTGGGATCCTAGTTTTTCTATTTGAGTTCTATGATGATCAGCTATTGCCTTTCATGTTTCTAATTCTTATTTGGTTATGTGAACTCTTTTGGTTTCTTTATTTAAACATGGTTCATTGTTACTTACACTTTGATTTCCCTGTTTTTGTCTTGTTTTCGAATCTCCTTTGCTTTTTGATTTCTCTTCAGGCTGATTTTAATGTATGCAGATATGAATAATCAATCCAAATTTATGTAGATCGATTTTATTCGAATAATCCTCTTATGCGGATCATACACAGATCATAAAATAAAATATTCGCATAGGTCAGATCGGATAAAAAAATTAAATATTCAATCCGATTTGATTTCACCCTAGATAAAGGTATAAACACTCTATTTAGTTCGAAACCCAAATCGATTGAGTTTGAATTTACTTCGAGTCCAATTGTTAAATTTGGGATTTTCATTTGTACTTTTTTAAAAATCTTTTTATTCTATCTTTTGTATTTATCATTCCTTTTCTTGTTATATATATTTATTATTTATCTTTTTTTTATCTTTATTTGTTTATTTATTTATTTTGTTTTGTTATCTTTTTCTTACTTCTAATTATCTAATTATCTTAAAAAAAGGTGAATTTTGAAACTAAAAGAAGTTTAGTGATAAAGTTGAGGGAATAAAAAGAATCTAGATGATAATTCAAGCTGTATTAGGGTTGGAATTGAGTTGAGACTCATAAAGATAAATTTTTAGTGATAATCAAAGTTTCAAAATTTGAGTCTGGAGTGATAAGAGATTTTCTTAAATTTTCCTATAAATAATGCTACAAGTAACACAATAAAAGACACAACAATCATAAAGGAGAACTTAAGAGTATAAAAGTTTTAGGCAGTTCAAGTTTAAAATTTAAGCTTTTTCAATTCTCGATGATTTCTCGATGAGGTTTTTAGGCTCAGGTGATATTTTTTAGTGAGCATTAAAGTTCTTGACAAGGATTCCAATGATACTTCTAGATTTTGATTACGATTTTCAGTTTCCCTAAGTGTTAACCCGATTTGACTTGACTGAAACGTTAACTCGATTGTGGATTTGACTCGTAATGCCAAGATCCGGCAACTCGCATTTCGCAAGCCTCGAGTTAAGCCATGTATCAATCCGCTAAGCTATTATTTGTTTTTACAGCTAAGTCAAATAAATTTTTCTGAGCTGAGTTGAGGCTTTTTTTTGGTAAAATTTTTTATTTTGCTTATTTATTTAATATATTTTTAAATGAGTTTTTTTTTAAATGAGATTTTTTTAAAATGAGGACAGAGTTGAATTATTAATTTTTTCTTAAATAAAAATAATTTCAAAGAATGAGGAAAAAATTGAATTATCAAATTTTCTTTAAACTAAAATAATGACAAAGAGATTGAAATATCAAATTTTCTTTAAAACAAAAATAATTTCAAGAAATGAGGAAAAAGTTGAAATATCAATTTTTTCTAAAATAAAAATAATTTTGAGATTTTAGGAAAATTTTGAAATATCAAGTTTTTCTTAAAATTAAAATTTTTTAAAATTTGAAAAAAATTAGATAACTATTAAACGATATGATGACAGAGCCTCTTTAAGAAATCATTGTTTTCTTGTATATTTCTGAGGTAAAAAAATTCTTTTAATTTTTTGTTAAAATTTTGAAGTTAGTTAAGAAAATTTTCAATATGTATAAATTTTTTAAGCTTAATGGATAACACAAAAAATAGTTGATACCATTCTTTGATGGGCATTTTGAAAGTGCTATAACTTTTCTCATATGTAATTGTACTTCCATACCTATCTTGGTTTCATATACCATAATCTACTTTTTGAAAATATTCAAGTTTGAGACTTCTCTTTAAAATGTGACATATTTGGTTAAGTGATTAATCACACATAAACAAAAAAAAAAAGATTAGTGGTGACTTCTAAACACATATCTAGCAGTCAAGTTCATGGATTTGTACAGTATGACAAAGGGGATTAAAGAACTTGATGAAGGTTGAGAAGTACAATAAATATGATATGTTATAAAAAGAAAAGTTAAGAGGTGTCTAAAATGGTATTACAAGATGGGTTTCAATATTCAAGTTAATTAAGTATGTGAATGAGGAAAAATGAGAAGGAGCAAAAAATAGCTTAAGGAGATAAAAAAAGTAAAATGGTGAATCTGGTTATTATTTGGTTTAATCTTATTTATTTTCCTAAAAATAAAGGTGAAAAATGAGTTAAGCAGTCTATGATATGGCACAATTTGATATGGTATAGGTTGTGCTTAGTATGATCTATTGCTATAATAACAGGTCATGCCAAGTGTGACTCATATACTTGTGTCGTGCTGGATTAGAGATTTTGAATTCATTAAATTGACAAAATACGATCTATTAAGGGTTAAAGTAAGCACATAACACATAGGCTAGCACGGCACGGCACATAAGCGCTAATGTTTCGTGTTGTGATGGTCCATAAATGTTATAAATGAGTTTAGTATGTTGATCTTTAGTTGAATTTTATGTTATTTTTATCATATGATGGATGTTCTTTTACCTTTTAATATTTTACGTTATTAGTTTATAGAAATTAAATTGTATCACTAATCTATTTATAAAATATTTAAATTATTCTAAATAAAATTTGAATTTTTTCATTTCGATTTATCATTTTCTAAAAAACAATGACATGTATATTATTAAAAATTATTTATGAAAAAACCAAGAATAAAAAAAATACTTGATATAAATAAATCATCATATGGTGAAATGAAAAATAAAATAAAAATGTAATATCCATTTTTAAATTTATAAATGTAATATTAGTATTTTTTAATTTCACGTATTATATTGATGAATTCTTTTAATTTTTACTATAAATATAGATATTTTATTAAATCATATAAATTATATCTTTTATGTATTAGTGTCATACATTAATTTTTAAATATAATTGAAAAACAAAGGGAAAAGTATTCTTAAAAAAGCCTATAAAAATTTAAAAAATTATTAATGAATCGTGCTTGACTTAATACAATAAAAAAATAGTATTGTACTACGTATGATTCAACCCATAAAAGCTATAAGTCATATGTAATATTGATCCATACTTTTAATTTTCATAGATTAAGCTAACACTATATATTAAATAATAATATAAAGTCGATACTTCCATTAACATATAAATTAATATTTTAATAAATATTTTCAACCCAACACCATTTATTTAACACCATTACCTAAAAAAAATAATGTTGATGTACTGTTGAAATTATTATTGACATGACCTTTAAAATAAAATAACAAAACATAGACTTTATCTATAAACTAAGAAAAAAAAAAAAAACACAGTATCAACCACGCGTTTTGATCATAACAGACTTGGTTCTGTAAAAATTATCATAAAAACTTTTAACATAATTTAATTACAATAAAAAACATTAGGAAAATTTTCAAAAATGAGAAATCCAAAGTGGTGTTAGGAAATTTTACGTTGTGGTTCTGGGTGGTGGACTGAATGGGAATGGGGAAGTAGAGGTGTAATATAGAAAAAATGAGGAGGAATGGGTGAGGGAGACGTAATAACATGTGAAAGTGAAGACTGTTAAGGGGGATGAAAATGAAAACGAGAAAGCAAAGAGAGAGAGAGAGAGAGAGAGAGAGAGAGAGAGGGGCAAGAGGCATGTGCACCGATTTGGGCATAATGGTGAAGATGCATGGCAGTTGGGGAGTTTCACAAATCCGGGAGACGCCAGGCACGTTCTTACCACCTCATATTTCGGCCCCTCTTACAGCTGTACCAATCTGTTCTTGTCCCTTCTTTTTTTCTTTTTAATTTCATTTCCCATTCACATTCCTCTTTCCCCCTTTCTAGACTCTTTAATTTATCTTAATAAATTCTGTTATTGTCTATTGAAATATTGTTTTCTTTATAAAACATAAATTGCTGCCTTTGCCATTGCCATGATCAATCTTACTCACCTAACGATAACTTATTGATTCCGATTTTTATAATCTATAAAATCCATTTTACACTTCACTTTTTATCTTGTCAAATTGTCACTAGACTATCACCACAATTTTGAATATAAAAAAAATATAATCTAATTTAAGAGAAAACAATTGGTTAACAATTTTCAATTAAGAAAAGTGAAAAAAAATTATACAGGTATATGGGTGCACGTATTGAATCAACTAGGACAGATGCAAAATTGGTGATTAATAATAAAAGCAAAGCAAAGGCCCAATCACATGGAACATAGTAAGAAGAGGGGGGGGGGGGGGATGGGACCGACAAGTTTGTTAAATAAAATCCTTTCAGACTGACAAGGGGTCACAGACCATGACTGTTGATTGGTGACTTGATTAATTGGTTAACATGGTTTAAGGCCCAAGGGTAATAGGAATAGGAATAGGAATAGGAATAGGATCATTGAAATCAAAGGAGAAAGAGTATGGGATTAAAATTCTTTCCCAACGGAATCGAGTTTCACAATAACACAATTAATAAGTAGAGTACGTGCACGTAATTACCAAACTACATCTATTGCTTTGCTTGTTGGCTTGGCCGTTGCTCAAAGCATCAACTCTGGTTCAGTTGAAGCGTAGATATTCTGATTCTAATTCCTCCGCCTTCCACGTCGAATCTGTTACTGTTCCAGCTCAAACTTTGTTATACTTTCCTTTAAAAAAAGCAAATCCCAGGGTTCTCCTGTTGGGAAGAGGCTAATATGGAAGGAAATTAGAGACTTAGGTCAATTTATGGGAGCGGGAGGGAGATTTAGGCAATACAATAGAGATGTTTATTGCCCATTTATTGAGTTTTTTAATTTTGGGTATAAAAAATTATAAAATTTGATAATTACACGAATTATTTGGACAAGCTTTGAACTAAAATTTTTTTAATAAAAAAATTATAATACAATTCAGTTACATAATCAGTAGATGTGTGAATAATATATAAAAAGACATTTTGAATAATTTAATTTAATGGAACAAATGTAGGCAAAAGTGGTTTTAACAATTATTAGCTGCAAAGTGAGAGCCGCTGACAACACAGCATCTCCTTGGTTTATCATTTCATTTCTCTCTCTTTCCCCTCTCTCTTAATCATCATCATCCTCATATTCCTCATCTCCATTCATTTCTCTCTCTCTCTTTCCATCCTTTACTTTCTCTTTTGTTCTGTCTAAATTTTTGCAGAGAGCAGCTGCAGTCCATGCTTATGCTCCTATTCTCTTTCTTCTTTACTGCTGTCCCCCTCTCTCTGTCTTCTTTTTCTTTTCCATTAGTAGTATCATTTGCCCATCAAAATTAAAAAAAAAAAAAACAAAATTTACTTATAAAGAAGGAGAAAAGAAAGGTATAGAATAAAAATCTATCAAAGGGGCAGCACTTACTCGTAGGAATACTCTTTCTGTCTTTCAATTTTTCCAGTCGTCTACTCTCTCTCTCTCTATCCTATTCCCTTATTTTTTTTTATTGGTTTAAGAAATTCTTCAATTGTATTTAACATTACCCCATCTTTCTCTTAACTTTCTCTTCTACTGTTTAGTTTCCCTTGTCGTTTCAATTAGGCCCAATTTTTTTTTTTTTGTTTAACATCGCCATCAAGGCAAAAAAGCAGCAGCTCCCCCTCTCGGCATCTCAACTGTGTGGGGGAGGGAGGAGAGGGGCAATACGCACAATTCAACTGAATTATAGTATCACTGATGAGAAGAAGAAGATAGATCTTTATGCATCATTAATAAAAGATTCCTGCTTTGCCAACTATCGTCGACATCAGTGAGGGAAAAGTAAAATCAACAAAATTAGAGGAGATGCAGCAAGGAGGTGGAGGAGGAGGAGGGCATCAATTTCAATACAGGGAGATGGGTGCTCCAGCAACGGGTGCAGTGGGCAGCAGCCACATGGTAAGCGAGCAGTCGGAGCAGTTAGTGGAAGAGGCATCGCCTATAAGCAGTAGACCGCCTGCCACTGGGAACTTGGATGAATTCATGAGGTTAGTAAGTGGCGGCGGAGGTGAGGTAGGAGATGAAGGGGATCAACCTGAAGGCGGAGGAGTAGCTGGAGTTGCAAGTGGCAATAGGTGGCCCCGTCAAGAGACTCTTGCTCTTCTCAAGATTAGGTCAGATATGGATGCTACTTTCCGTGATGCCACCGTCAAGGGCCCTCTTTGGGAAGATGTTTCCAGGTAAAGTACTTCACCCCCACGCTACACGGCCGTAAACCAAAAATATCACTTCTTTTTTTTCCTTTTTCTAAATCTTGCTGCAAAAAATAAAAGTAATTCAACTACTAGTAAAAATTTAATCATTACCATAATGCATTGTCCTCCAAGAGCTTAGTTGTAACAGTGAAATAGTGATGGGATGGGTTTCTTCTCAAGCTCTCCTCCCCTCTCTTTCTCTCTCATTCCGAACACAAACGCACATGGCTTCTTTCTGTTTCCATCACGGCTCACGTGCTGGGGCATCTTCTTCTTTTTTGTTTTGTTTCTTACCATTAAGAAATGGCCCAGATCCGCTGCATGAACTCTAACCAATCCTATCTTTTTCTTTTATATACATATATATATATATATGTTTTATTCCTCCGTTACTATCTTATTTTATCAATTTCAAATCGAAATTCGGAAATTTGAAAATCCCGAGAGGAAATATTTTTACTGCTTATTAAAATTTTTTAGACACCATGGAAGGGATGGTCGGAGGGAGTCTACCACCATCAGCTTTTTTGGTTTTTCTCTCCTTTTCACATTAATAATACTTATAGTTAGACACCCAGATCAAGTTACCATTGATTATTATATGGAAAGGACAGATGAGGTCAGTTGAGTAACTTTGTGAGAGTGGAGGCAGGAAATTATTTTGATTTTTTTTGGGTGCAATGTTCATTCTAACAAGATGACTATTAATTATAATTGTCAAATTAATAGTCTGATATTAAAAAACCACGGGCGTGGCTCGCAGGAAGCTAGCGGAACTGGGTTACAAAAGGAGTGCCAAAAAGTGCAAGGAAAAATTCGAGAACGTCCACAAGTATTACAAGCGAACAAAAGAAGGGCGAGCTGGGCGTCAAGATGGTAAGAGTTACAAGTTTTTCAGCCAGCTAGAGGCCCTTCATACACCTTCTGCCACTGCTGCTGTCAACGTGTCAACATCCGTGACACCTGTCACTGCCGCTACCTCCACTAGCCTGGACGTAGCTCCCGTTTCGATTGGGATCCCTATGCCCATCTCTTCTGCCAGAATTCCACCTACAACAGCTATCCCAGTGCCAGTGCCAGAGCCGGCGCCAGCACCTCCTATCACCACTTCAGCAGCTTCATTTGGAATCTGCTTCTCTTCTAATAGCTCTTCCTCTTCTCAAGGCTTTGAAGACGATGATGACGACAAAGATGAACTTGGAGGAGAACCGTCGAGCATGGCTGGCACTAGCCGTAAACGTAAAAGGCAGTCGTCAGGAGGGGGCGGTAATACCAACAGGAGGATGATGGAGTTCTTCGAGGGTCTAATGAAACAGGTCATGCAGAAACAAGAAGCCATGCAGCAGCGGTTTTTAGAAGCCATAGAGAAGAGAGAGCAAGATAGGATGATACGAGAAGAAGCTTGGAAAAGACAAGAGATGGCAAGATTAACTAGCGAACATGAGCTTATGGCTCAAGAACGTGCCATTGCTGCTTCAAGAGATGCTGCTATTATTTCTTTTTTGCAGAAGATTACTGGTCAGACTATACAGTTACCCACAACTGTCACGGTCCCAACTGCTCCACTTCCACCGACACAACAGGCCGTGCCAGTTGTTCCTCCACCAGCTCCACCATTGCATCAGCCACCGTCATTACCACAACAACAGCGTAACTCGCAACAGCAGCAACAGTCACACTCGCACCAACATCAACAGCAGCCACAAGTTGTTCACCAGCAGCAGCATCAAACTCAAAATACTGAAGTTTCGAGGCATCATCAACAGCCTGTATCTTCAGAAGAAGTAATGGTTATCCGCGAGCAACAGGGCCCACCACAGGAGATTGGTGGGAGTGGGAGTGGGAGCTTGGAGCCTGCCTCGTCTAGATGGCCTAAAGCTGAAGTTCTTGCACTTATAGACCTGAGGAGTGGGCTCGAATCCAGATACCAAGAGGTTGGGCCCAAGGGCCCCCTTTGGGAAGAAATCTCCGCTGGTATGATCAGGATGGGGTACAAGAGAAGCGCCAAACGGTGCAAGGAAAAATGGGAGAACATCAACAAGTACTTCAAAAAGGTCAAAGAAAGTAAAAAGAAACGTCCCGAGGATGCCAAAACCTGTCCTTATTTTTACCAACTCGATGCCCTTCACCGTAGGAAATTACTTGGTAGCGGTGGTTCCAGCAGCTTTAGTGACCAGAATAGGCCTGAAGAAGAAACGTCACGGCAGCATCAAGATACAAGTGACGCCCCACAAATCACGACAGCGCCGCAATTGACGCAGCCTACTGATCAGTCTGAAAGCAAAACTGGAGCTACTGCTGATGTGCTGACAAGCCAAGAATGTTTACCTGGGAGTCTCTTTGGAGAAGGAAATGGTGGAGCCTCAAAAAAGGTAAATTTATTTTACTTACCAGCTTCTTTATTTTCTTCTATCACCCACCGAGACATTTTCAGTTACTATTGCGTTTTGGTGATAAACCATTTTATACGATGCCTATTGATTCTTGGATTGGTATTGAAGCCAGAAGACATTGTGAGAGAGCTGACTGAGGAGCAGGGGATGCACCAGAAACAACAACATCAAGGACAATCCTTGTTGGTGGATGGCTATGATAAGATTGATGAACATGATAGTGATAATATGGATCATGAGGAAGATGAAGACGAGGATGAAGATGATGACGAATTGGAAGAAGGGCGAAGTATGGCTTATAAGATAGAATTCCAAAGACAGAATACAAGCAGTACTCCCAATGGAGGAGGGAAAGGGGCACCCTCCTTTTTGGCCATGGTTCAATAACCTTGGCAGCTCCATCACTAAAAATGTACCATATGTACCTATGTGTGCAGAAGCTCAACAAATTAAATACCTAACAATTTGAGATGAAACTCTTCTAGGATAAAAAATTCCTTATTTCTTCGTTTTGTATCTTCTCCTATTTCCACTTCTTAGTCCTTACCTTAGCCGCCCTTTCAACCTCCAATAATTCAGTATCATCTTCTTCATAATCCTCATTCTTCATATTCTTCTTCAAAATAGCTTCGCTGATACTGAAAGTCGTCCGAAACAAACTCTTGGATGACAGTCCCCACTTGCATTTACATCACTTCTTTTCAATTTATTGATTTGTTGGTGAATAAGGGATTCCCGTTCCAAAGGAAAAGGGGAAGAGAGATTGAATTGAGACAGAGGAAATAAGCTTGGGTTATACCAGCAGCAGAGCGAAAGGACACAAAGAAGACAAACAAAGCATAAAAGACAGGAAGAGAGTGCAAGACATGGAGCAATGGAGTATATTGAGCGTATATGTTGTAACTAGGAGAAGCAGATGTTTTATGTGTCAAATTTTTACAATCAGTTTTTCTTTTTTTTTTTTTTTTGCCTTCTCTCTGACTTGCTTGGTTCAATTTAAGGAATGAAAGAATATCAGTTCCAGGGTTACTGACTTGTTCAATCCTATTCTTTCCCTTTTTAACTTTGTGATCAGTTATTATTGTCATTTGTCATCATTCTTTCTATCTAGGCTTTGGCAGTTGAGAATCTCAAACCACAAGTACTGATGGAAACTGTTACTATTAGGAGTTGAAGAGATAAAGGAGAAAAGTGCCTTGGTCTTTTCATCAATCCCCATTCTCCCTCCTTTTCTTCCATTATTATATTATTATATACCATTTAAGTCTTTGTTGCGTCAAGGTATTGTTCTTGCCTTCGTGGCCTCGAGTTCAACGACTGGTTGCCAGTTGCGACCTTGTCATTTCTGCTACTGTTAATCAACAATGTACCTGTGGAATATGTGTTGTTGGGTCTTCTTGTCAAACCCTTTTTTCCCCCTTTAAAATAAGGAAAATTTTCCTTGAGTAATTGAAATTGTGGTTGAATTTGTAAAATTTGGAGGTCATAAAAATTAAAACCTACCCTTGAAGTCTCTATCAAAGGATTGGAATTTGGAATGACAGTAATGTAAAATGCCTTACTTTTTTCGGCTTTTTTTTGAAAATGAAGACATCATCATCTAATGGATGTTGACTTATAGGTTGCAAATAAACAAAACAACAAATATTTATGAAAAAAAAATATTAAAATGAATGGACAAACTTAACGAATTGAAAGAAACATTAGTTATGACCAAGTATAAAAGATTTTTGGTAAATCAAGGGCCATGCTTAGTGGGTTACGAAGTTTTATTCCATGTAAAATAATAACACAACAGAAAATATAACAAAAAGCCATACTTTTCTAGTGATTTATGTACGTTTGGATCTACTTTTCAACAATATAATATATAATATGTTCAATAAAAATATAATTATCTCATCAGATAAATACTATATTGGGGAAAGAAAAAAAAGAAAGAAAGAAAGAAGAGCCGCATATAAACGTAATAATGACAATGCAAATTGACAAGTAGGATGCAATTACGCATAGCACAGTGCTTTCCATTATTCCACTTGCCGACTAATATCGTTATAGCAAACATGGGTTCTCTAGTCTGCAGTGGCAAATTCCTCTTTTTGCCACTTCCATAGATTTTCAAAAGATCGAACAATGACACTATCTCCCTCATCTCTCACCCCAAAAAAAGAGATGACAGTCGATGATCATTCAACCCCGGCCTGACGTGCCCTACCCATGTGCTTGTTATTTTACTTCCACCCCAGACATTCCCCTTGTTTTTTGTTTTATCTTCCTAGCTATAAAATCTTTCTTTTTCTTTTCCCATATCATTATTGATTTTGCTTATCCTTTCATTTGCTTTTTTTTTTTCCTTATATAATAGTTGTATGTTTATTGTATTTATTAAGGGCCGTAGCATTATATTTGATGGGTGATAGATTGTGAACAGTTTGCAGCAGCACATGGGTGGTGGGATTTGGGAAAGAGGTGGCTTTGGTTGGTGATCTCGATCGGTGTTGGTGGCTGGATTTACACATATAATTAAAGGTGGCCCCAGCCCTTTAGTGTACAAAACTTCCATCTGTTTCCAAAGCATTTTAAGTCATTTTTAAATGGAAGGGAAGGGAAAGAAGAGATTGAGTGATGAAGGAGACAAACATACTTACATCCACCCATTCCTCTCCCTCTTAATTATCCCATCCTTCACTTTGCTTTATTTGGGAATCAAAAAGAAAATAATACTTTACGTTATAACTAGATTAATATTAGCACATGGGAATGGGAATGGACGATTGGACATGGACCATGTTCGCCACAGCGTTATGGTCAATTATAGCATCACCTTTTTTTTTTTTTTAATTATTATAAAAGTGGTTTTAGTATGAGGTTAAGAATAAAAAAAATTATAAGCATTGAGATTCAAATCTCAAATTTATTAAATATTATTTTTTAAAAATAATTTCATGAATAAATTGGATTAAACTTAAAATTTTTTTTTACTAATTTTTAGGCTGCAAAAACTTGGTTTTTTTTTTTTTTAATTTAAAAATGGGTTTTTTTTATTAATAATTTTTAGATTGTGAAATCTCTATTTTTGATTACACGCATCAACTTATTATTGAAATTAATTGTAAATAATACAGCTTGAAAAGCAGAAATATCATCCTAATGGTAGACAATTAGCCATCACCTTTGTTTTTCCTTCTTTTTTTAACCAAAAGGAAGACCCAAATTCAAATATTCCTTCCCTGAAATTAAAAAAAATAGAAAAAGATAATGTATTGCACTTTTCTTTTAGTATAAATTAAATATATTTATTACTAGTAAAGAACAAGTAGACAACTATGGAAGGGTAATGTATAATTAAGCAGCGAAGGAAGTTGCCCCAGCTCTTCCAGTTGTGTATAATTAATGTATTACGTTACGTACGTACACAATACTCCTTATGATGAATCTGACATAACATTTAATGATGGAACAGTGACTTGTAAATAAAATAATCAATGATGAGGGGATAAAGATTTAACCTGTTCTAATGCAAATAAGTAGTAATGCTATGGCTTAACCCAAATGATTGTTTATATTAAAATCAAAGATTTTGTTAAAAAAAATTATTTATAATATTGTTTTGCATTAAAAATGATAATATTATAAATTTCAATATATTGAATAAATAAATTATTTAATATAATAAATCTTAAAAAATATCTTTGAAACACTAGTTAACAAAATCCAAATTTAAACTCCCCTTTTTTCATTCTTTAAATTTTTGTTCAAAAAATTTGAGAAAGTATGTTTCAAGAAAATAATAATTGGAGGAATGAGAGTGGTTGCATTTAAGCCCAATTATTTGCGTAAACAGAAGCCGACCTTTGGGCTTGGCAATTTCTTATAGAGTTACCAAATGGAGAAGTGTTTCATGCCTAATAAGAAAAAGAAAAGCCACTAATATGGATGAAAGTGTTTTCGGCTGCCCCACCTCTCTCACTGTTACCATGTTACTTTGATCTTTGGACCCATGAAGTTCTAAAATTGGAGAATTCCCTGCTGCTTTGGGTTGGGCAAAAGAGGCCATGAGTGTTAGTCAATAACAGTAATTGCTTGTTTTTCTCTTCAGTTTTGATTGACGGTAACAACAGGAAGGAAAAAAAAAAAAAAAAGGCACAATAGTTTCATATGAAAATCAAAGAAAATTTTCATTGCCTCATCGAAAACAAACATGTTTAGGATACCGGAAATATATATATATATATATATATATATATATATAAGAGATTATAAATTTGCGAATATCCTAATCCAACTCCTGCTTGCTCTTGGTTCTTTTCATCTTTGCCTTAAACCTTGATTTTGCCACCAGTGTCTGTACCGTGTTTATAAAGTTCCCAACAGCCATCAAAACCAAAATGATCCCACAAAAAGTTACCTGCCAAAACCCAGTTTTCCATCACTAATTACATCATTTCTAGCATATATGCAACCTTAATTTGTTTACTAAGCTCGATACTTTTTTTTTTTTATTGCATAAACGAACGAGCGAAAAGAGGAACTGTGAGAAGTTAAAACCTACCTGCCATTCAGAAACAACCCCAACAAATGCTGTCTTAAGCAATCGCAGTCCAACATATGCCTCAAAACCCTATATTCACGTTCACAAGCACACAATAATTTATGATATGGTTATTTGCAATATTTGAGAAGAGAGTATAAAAGAAAAAGGATAACTGATGAATAGACACATTATTCTCAATTAGAACAACATGCTCATCAATCTCTTTCCATTTTTATCCAAGGGAGAAAAAGGAAAAGAAAACGGAGTATCCTTCATGCTAAGCAGAAGAAAGATTGAAACAACATTACCACAAAAATGAAAAACAACTTTGAGCTTCCAACCAATAACTGGGATTTTCTAAAAGATCTTGGTCGTACTCTATAGCTCTTATTATCCAAGCAGTTTTCTTCGATAAATGTTTAATGACCAATGACTGAATGGAAGTTCAACCCTAAAGCACTTCACACAACCCTCATGATGTGATTGATTTAATTTTTTATGTTGATTGAAAACTAAAATTAAACAATTTACAGAATGCCTAAAAGGCTAAAACACTCGCCTTCAAAACTGTGTGGGCACTTCAAAGAAGTTAAACAAACTTTTAGAATACAAGTGGTGTGCAGCTTCAAATTAGATTAAAATTTGATAGCAACAAGACATTAGCTTATTTGCTGACTGGAACAGTACCAAAAATGGAAATCTTAAGGACATTACAAATTTGTAAGTTTGAACCGAAGGTTTTAGACCCTTTTATTGGTAAAGAACAACATAAAATGGACATTGCACCATCTAAACATTCTCAGCAATTCTCTTAAGTTAGTTCGCATTACCTGCATAAGGAAAAGTATTGGACATAAAACCCACAATTGGCCATCAACACCAGATGTTTCTCCCCAGACAACATCCATTCTCTTAGCCTGAAAACAACAATAATAATTAGAATTTAGAACAGGTTCTTCATAATTGTAAGGATCCGAAATGGAGGCATAATAGCTACTGCTCATGGCAGACAAAGGGTAAGATTTTGTAATATGCAAAAGAACAAAGAGGATACAAACCAAGTCTATAGTTAGTATGCAAAAATAATAAATGTTGAAAGAAGGAAACAGAAAATTTAATTTTTTTGATGCAGAAAGAGGAATAGCACCTTTCCTAGGGCAATACGAGTATAAAGTCGCTGGCGTTGATATCTATTTTGTAAAAGCATGGCAACTCCTTGCATCATAGCCCATTGAAGGAAAAGTTCTACACCTCTCTGAACGGGATTTAACAGTTTGTTAATAGATGAAACAAAATATAATTAGCAAACAATGGTAATAAGTTGACCTGCTTCTGAGCACAATTAGGCTGTCCTTTAATCTCCCAAGTGAGACTAACTAGGGCCATAACCATAGCACAATAGTGATGGTATATCCACCTGCAAAAGTATCATTTAGTCATCAATTGAGTTGGAAGACTAACCAGGAAAAGGATGCACCCAAACACAAACTACAAACACCACCAATAAACATTAGAAAGTTTTAGAATTGATTATTAATTAACATATAGGTATTTCATAACATAGACAATAATTGTTCTCCCAGGCTGCTGTAAACCACAATCTATCAACACATATACATATAAATGTAACTTTATCTAGACTAGATAAGGAGTTTCCATAAAATCATAAAAACATAACAATCAAAAAGGAGATTCCACAAGATTCTAGGTGCTTAATGGCCAAAACAACTCGCTAAGTGGATTTGAACAATTTCAAATAACCCAGATAAAATGGTCATGGATAAAACCTCTTTCCCAGCCTCCTTACATAATATAGATGTTATTGAGTTAGCTGATTTTGACAGATTCAAATTGTAACTAACATGATTCACCAAACAAACTAGAAGGGGCTATATAACCAAGCAAAATGCATGTATATAATCACAAGAAAGTCAATCTCTATACTCTCTCACACAAATCTCGCAGTGTAGCCAAGACAAGAAATCAAAGGGTACAAAGTGCAATTACAGACTTTTCCAGGTATTAACTTGAGCAATAGTTCTAAAATCAATTACCTAATGGAAGATCTAAACATTTGATTTCGACCAGGAAGGGAATATATACAGGTAAACCATCTACAGCACAAGAAAATGGTTATAAGTCACAAATGGTACATAAAATTGGTTCTGATGATGTAACTAAAGCAAAAATTTAACAGAGACATAGACTCTATTTTCTCTATGTTCTGAAAGGAACAACCAGGAGGATCTATTCCACCAAACAAACTAGATGGGGCTATATAACCAAGCTAAACGCAAGTTCATCATCTGAAGCAAGTCAACCTCTATACTATCTCAGACAAATCTATAGTGTAGCCAAGACAAGAAATCAAAACGTTTAAAGAAAGTGCAGTTAGAGACTTTTCCAGGCATTAACTGTGAGTAATAGGTCTACAGTCAAGTACCTAATGGAAGATCTTAACATTTGATTTAGACCAGGAAAGGGATAATATATAGATAAACCATCTACAGAATGAGAAATGGTCAAAAGTTACAACCACTACATAAAATTGATTCTATGTCGTCACAGATGTAACCAAAGGAGAAATTTAACATAGACGTAGACACCATTTTCCTTCTATGTTCTCACAGAAACAACCAGGAGATCTATTCCCTGCTTCAAAACTTTAAGAAACATCAACTTCAGCATTATAATAAGATAGAAAATCATATTGATGTCCATTCACCTCCCTCCTCTAACTCCCCAGTTTGATGATCTTATGACATCCTATCCTCCCTAATGCATCTCACTAACTTCTACTTCTCCATCCACCCACTGGCAAGCACTCTGTAGAGAGAGTGCAACCATCTCATCCAAGCAGTCCTAAATAATCACACACGTTCACCAACCTAAGGGTACGAGAGAGTTATTAACACGAACCGATTACTCCAGAAGGAGATTACAATAGGGCAAAGATGATTAACTTTAGTGCATAAACATACACCAGAATAAGGTCATCAAATTCTGAATTCATTTTCCTTTGTAAGCATTAAATCGAAAACCACTAAAGACATGATTTAAAATCATGTAATAACCCTTAACTTAAACCCACCTCTCAAGTTATTTTAATCTCAAAAGTACCACATATCCTATCCCATTTTTAATCACAAAGTCCAATCTACACAAAACAACACTAGAAAGTAAACATGCTTGCTCTGAGGAAACATTCAAAAAGAAGACGGCATGCAATTACCATGGGCGAATATCACTTCCATTTGCTCGCAATATGTTCTCTCGTAAAGCCAAACCAGTGTAAAGGAACAACAACCATGCCTGACATATCATACACTCAGGATTAAATCACAGAAAAAGAGCTCTACTTTAGGTCAGCAACAAATGAACCAAATCCCAAACAAAAACTCCTAAGAAATTATAATACCTGGTACAACTGAACTGGAAATGCAGGTAAGCACCCTTCCCAGATCCAAGATCTTAAAATAAGCAAAGTTAATGGAAAAAGAAGAAACAGAAAGGCAGTCCTATCCTGTTGAAGGGAAATAGCACTTAGTAAGTATAAATACTTAAATTTCAAGTATCCCCTTTTATCTTTCCAAAAGTAATTCACAAAGAAACCATGAATCCGAAAAACTACTACTACTAGTTTGGGATGTGCATATATTTAGTAGTCAGAGGTCACTGAAACGTAAAATGAGCCTGCATGAGCATTTTGGCCAGAATTTCTCTTTAAGAGAAATGCCATGCAATTGTAAAATTGAAGAATATGTTCAGGTGCCACTCAAAAAAAAAAAAAAAAAAAAAAAAAGAGATAAAGAAGTGATGCTCACTCTGTAGCTGTTATATTCCTCCTTAACTTTCAACTGGACATCTTTGCGGGATGCACGCACATTGATTGGTCCCAGAAACATCCTCAGAAATCTTCCTGCCATTCCCAATTACAAAGTAATAAACTAATATCATAAAAATTTAAAAAAAAAAAGAGAAGAAATTATTATACCCTGAGCTTTGGCAGGAAGAAAAACAGCGGCGTCTCCATCAGTTATAACACATCTGGCTCTCTGTAAATCCTCTTCCAGCTGTTTCGAAACCAATTTTCAATTTGTTTGTTTGTTAAGATTTCATTAAATGAAGAAACAATTAAAGAGACATTAAAAAAAAAAAAAAACAAAGGGAGGGGAACATGAAAGATAGGGACTTGCCTTATTGGCAAGCCTGGAATCCAAAAGCTTTTGAGAGTGAAGAGAATTGATCAAGGAACGGAGGCGGCGTATCGAAGATTCGAGGGAATTAGCTTTTTGGCGTAGAAATTGCTCGTCGTTCGATATCTTCGATATAAGCGAAGCGCCTGATTCCTGCAACTCTCTAGCTTGCTCCACCACTCTCCCTACTTCTTCAATTTTATCCGCCGATTCCTCCACCCTCTCCATTTTCCCTTAGATTTCTCTCTCCTTTATCCGTGATTTCTAATAAAGTATGAACGATTGTTGGGTGCTAAATATTCTATGCTTTGATATGATATCTCAACTTTAGTTTTTCTGTTTGACTTCTATAGTTTTTTTTCTGCGGAATAATAAAAGAAAAATGGAAACAAATATTTATAGTTCAAAGGTTGAACGAAGGGAGGATGTGCTTTCGGAGTCCTTTTGGAAACATAACCTTCTGGGAGAAAGAGGGAAAGGCAAGGGTTCTTCCTTTATTTCGTAGACTTGAAGCCTCCCCACTTTACTCTTTGTCCCAAACTCCCACGCAACAGGAATTATTCTTTTTATTTAAATCCCCAAAAAAAAAGTCAATAGAAATAATACCACACAGCAATGGCAGCAACCTTAGCCTGAATTCCCCCACCAATGGTCTACGGAATTGGTTGTACTTCATAGGCAGACGGCAACCTTACTGCTCTGGGTGTTAGGGGGCCTAACTCCTACACTTCGGTTTCATCGCTTATATTAAGAAAAAATAATATTTTCTTCTTGTTTAGTTTTACCTTTCATTCCCTGATGCAGGGAAATGGTAATAACTGTGAGTTGTTCATTGGAGCAGTGATCCCACCCTTTGCTGGTGTTTTCCAAAGCAACTACCGAACAAGCAAAGCTTTCGTTTATAAATGCTTGGCCACAACCAAGCCAATAGCCCAGAGGACCTCTCTCTCGTAGCCGTACAACAATCACATATCCAACTCCTGGGAACCAAGCTACCCCACGTGTATGACTGAAACTTTGACCCCACTCAACATGCCTGAATATTCGTCAATACCATATACGACCCTTTCTTCTTCCGTATGTTAAAGGAGGAAAAAAGGCTTTACATGACGGATTTTGACATTTGAGCATCATTTATTTAAATGTTTGGAATTGGAAGGATAAATGCACCCAGTACAAGTAATTGTGAAAGATAAGAACAATGTTATTCAAGTTTGTTGGCTTGCTTTGACTTGCTGAGAGACGTTCAATTCTCCCCTTGGTTGAAATTGAAATAAACAAGGAAAGAAATCATCTGCAACACAACAATCACATATCCTACAGTGCACTGTGGAAACTGGAAAGTCCAACTAACATTCAAGTTCAACCACCATTCCAAAGGCACACCATTATAGCAATTGTGGTGCCTTAATATCTGGCTATCGAAGAAGAAGGGTTTATCTTCTGTCCCTACCGTTGTATTACCTTATCATCTTGAAATATATACATGATAATTAATTCAACAACTGCGGAGGCAAGAGCTTACTTTTCAGTTAATGCAGACTAAGCATTTCTATTTAGCTAATCCTACTACCATCAAAGCAGTGACAGTAACAGAGGAATTGGCGTAAAATACTTACATTTACAGTAAGTCAATAGAATACATGATCATGTGAATTAAACCTACCCTTTTAATCTTTGAAAAGGAAAAACTATCTTGGGTGAAATCTCAATGACCTTGACTATTTCCCAAGATAAAAATTACAAAAGGAAAGTGCAAAGAGAGAGAGAGAGAGAGAGAGAGAGAGAGAGATACAGTATAAATCTCTACTAGAGTTGTTTTGGTGTAGCTTCACCAGTCCAGTATGTTTTGACAGAAACAAGAATTTTCTCTGGATTGAAGGGTCCGCTTTCATGGTCCATGATCTGACTCTTCCATCTCATTCCATCTGTTATACTCTTAACCTTCACAAGCAAATCCACAGTGTCCCTAAATATAACCGCCCCTTCTGGCCTCAGAATCCGATCCATCTCCAGCAAGATGTAAGTGATGTCACACCTTCAATAAACAAATTAACACAAGTTCAACCACAATGACAAATTACAAGATCAAAGAAAGTTCATGATTGAGAATACCATCCTCTCAAACATTACCTGTCCTGATATATACTAAACAAGCCACTAGCATGGATGAGATCATAAGTTCTTGGATATGTTGAGAATGCCTCACACCAGTCCTGGTACGTACCAATTAAACCACGTTCATAAATAACTCCCAAAGTGTTATGATCAGAATTTGCAGGGACCACATTCATGACCCACACTGGATACTTTAAGACTGCCGCTGCAAATCCCCCAAGGTAAGCATTCATGTCCAAAATATTCCGATACCGTCCAGTGGATAGGGGACTAATAATCCGTTTGTAATGTGCTACTCTTTCCTTCCAAAGTTCATTATCCTCTTTAAATTTCTCAGCACTGACGCCTGGTATTGAGCCACTGCTAATTCTTGGTGGAACAGCAAACGCACGCTCTGACCATTTTTCTATTGCGCCACCAGCAACATCATCTGAGCTGTTTACTTCTGGAAGTGGGGTTATGCAAGCTTCCAAATTTCTGTACCTTTTTAGCACAAATGACAAAAGGAAAATGAGACCAGAAAGGGCTTTATATATATGTTGTGTCAAAGGAGGAAATAAGAGCATGAAAGACAGTAAAGAGAGTACCAAGCTGTGTCTGGATCATCTGATTTGCATATGTGTGGTGTTTTCAAGACCTTCTTACTTTCAATACACTCAACGTGGTTGATGGGCTTTTGCCAAACTGATAGATCATTCTGTTCAATCACTTTCTTCCAGCATAGTCGTTTGGCAACATCTTCAATAGCATCTTGCTCTTGTTTCAAGTCCTCCTGTGTCCTTTCCCAGCCTCTCCAGTACTTCTTCCAGTGAATAGGTGGACCAGAGAGAACCCAATAACCACCAGGCCTTAGAATCCGATCCACTTCGGTGAGATACAAACCATCTATACCAATTAAACGAAACCATTAACTAATACACAACTTTTCAACCTATACAAGAATGACATAGAGGTAGTAAAAGGGTCATATGATGCCTTGCTGTTGCAATATAGAAGAGAGTAAAAGCGTCATTTCCACATTCCTTACAGAATCATCTCCTTCTTTTTTTTTTGGACAAAACAGCATGAGATATAAAGATGCCTTACCATAGTTTTGCCAAGGGATCAAACAGCGAGAACAATGAGCCAAGTCAAAAGCCCTTGCTGGGTAAGGAAGCCTCTGTGAACCCATAATTCCAATCATTGCAGGAACTCCACGTTCCAGCGCAAACTGGACCTGTGCTTCATGTGTATCTCTTGGAGCAAAAGACATTGTCAAGACATTCCTCTTCAAGAGGTAGGCACTGAAACTTGCAACCTAACACCAGAGAAAAGAAGAAAAGAATTAGCAAAGGCAATTAATAGACCATAGGAGTACCAGTTATTATCATAGATCATAAGTAGATATGGTATTTGTAATGGCATAGGAGAAAAAGAATTCATGATTTTAAAAAGTTTATAAGCCAATTAGATAGCAACAAATCCTAAAGGATGCAAAAAGATGGAAGCAAATAAATTAAAAGAATGTTCATTACTTACCCCACAGCCAGTATCAACTGCTGTTCTGATGGTTCCATCGGTAAGGGGAATGAGCTTGCCAATATCATCGATATATGCATCAGCTCCCCTAGGGAACATGGTGCCTCCCCCAAGGAATCTGAAACGATCACCCTCCACTTGAATCCAATTCTGAATTGCCTTTTCAATGCTAAGTTCTCTATGAGGGATGTTGTCATACCAGGCATAATCTCGGCTTTGAGGCCATTTAAAAGGGGTCTTATATTTTGGTGGAGCAGGAATAAGACAGAGAAGGAGTTCTTCCTTCGTGGGACAATGCCGCTCTCTATATTTCATCATGTTACGATCAAATTTCCTTCCCCTCACTTTATCTTGGCAGGGAGTGTACTCGCTGAATGACATATCACACGGCGGGAACTGACTGACTGTTTTAGAACTGTCGAGCTCAACTTGATGATGGCTTGCAAAGTCCAAGTTGGTTGATGATGGATTAACTGCAGCATTGCCCTTCTCTGATGTAGTGGCATTAGTATCACAACCAACTCTAGTGTATACATCAGATCGAGAAGTGGGAGTAGAAGTATTCTGCCAAGCTCCCAACACATAAAACAATATGCAGAGGCCACTAACCCCTAGAATCCAAGTGAGACGCTTCCCCTTTGTTTCTAGCTGATGATGCTTTGGCGATCCACTGTACTCTTTGGCCATCACGATCTACTGGGATTATCTCATGACAAGCTAACATACAAAAAGATGAAAAGGGGAAAGATTAGAATTGAAACATAGGACAAGTGAAAACAAAAATATCAGCACACGATTCCCTTAAAGGATGTCATCATAACTTCGGTTTACACAAAATAAGCAAAGATACCACAAGTAGCTGCAAGGGGATTTGTTCCTAAACTTAAAAAAAAAAGAAAGGATTTTAGTTTCCTTTTATGTCATATATTCTATATTAAATTATTTCTAGAAAAGAGAAAACAAGACTCCAGTATGACAGAAGAGATGAGCACATGTCGTAGATCTAAGTCAGGAAACAAGTGGTTCATTCATGCAGATATAATGGTAGAATTCACGCAGGTATAAATAAAGATTCATAAACTAGACTGAACAGAACAAAACTAACTAAAGACTCTAAAGCTGTCCAATTAACAATAATAAGGTGAATAAACAGAAGACACAGAGGAAAGAAAGAAAAGAAAAGAACTGAAGCAGCTTAAGGGAATCCAGGCACCAATATTTTGATTTGGACCAAAAATAAAATAACTTGAAAAGGAAAGGCAGTTAAAAGCAAGAATCTCAACGCCCATGAAAATGATTTATCAAAATATGTCTAAATAGCCCCAAGTGCCCAACATAACACAACATCAGATCCACTAAAAGAAAAATGGAAATCATGGAGCACCATAGAGGAGTCCTTTTAGAAACTTGCAGACTTCTTAGAAGAAATGAACTTTGCAGAACCTTTTTATCTGGGGCTATCTTTTTCATCATTCACAACAACTTAATAAGAAAGAAAGACCTGTCTTTAGGAGATATTCAACGTAAAAAATAAATGGCAGCAGCAAAAAGAAAAAAAAAGAAATTTTTGTACCAGAAAAAAGATACAGGAAAGTACCTGAAGAAGATGATCTGGTTCTGTTGGGACTTTCAGACACTTAATCTGTAAAAAGGGTACATAAAACTTTATTTAAATGTTATCATACATATAAATACATAAGTAAATAAATAAAAAGAAAAGAAAAGAAAAGGGAAATAAAGTACGAAGAGAAGGACCAATAAAGTAGCTAAGAAAAAGCAGGTAGACATTGGTGAAGAAAGAAGGTTATAATAATTGGGTACCGAGAAAGAGCCAAGTATAAGATCTCCACCATTACAGGAATTGATGACTGTTGTGATTTTTGAAAAAAGAAACTTAAAAAGAAGTAGGGGGACTGGATAACATGTGTTTACGTGCTATATATCATGGTGGGTTTTATTTCTTCTTCAAAATTTTTCGGACCAAAAATGGAGTGAAGTTGACGACAGAACCAGAGACGAGAGACCTAAGGAAGCATGGATTTGGTCTAAGAAAGGACAAAAGAGAAGTGGAAGAAATTGAGTATTCACAGGAGAGTAACAGGCCTCATTTGTCTCTCATCCGTTTCCATATCTATACAACTTCATTTCCATTCATATTTTTGCCTGCTTTTTAGGTTCCAACTTCAACCTTAAACATAACAAGAAAAGCGTTATTGTTTTAAAAAGAAACACAGATTTGGAAAAGTGGGGTCGGAGATTTGCTCCAACTTTTCAAGAAGCAAGACCCATCACAGTCTACAATCAAGCACGGCCCTTTTCTTCTGGCCTTTCTGACAAGCACTAAAAGGTAAGGGAAATATTAACCAAACCAAAACAGGCTGAGATGATAATTATAATCGTCTACCTAAAGATCAGTCGTCCATATATATATATATATATATATATATATATATATCATAAAACTAAAAGCTCGGGTGTGGACTCTATGATGTCCAATCAAATTGGAACTCAGGTAAAGATTAAATGTTTGAGAAATAGAGATGAAAGTAGAAGTGAAAAAGGAGTCACGTTGATGATTTGATAAACCAAAAACGACCCAATCCATAGCTCAGCTCAGGTCATTTATCTTTTAAGCATTGATAAATTAATGTCGCACGTTTGGCCTCCTGGCTATATAATTGAAATTGTCAGGTCTATAACAATGTACATGCAACAACTCGTTGAATCTAATGCTACTACTAACTAGTACATCATATCGTGGATGAAAAATTAAAAAAAAAAAAAAAAGTTGCAAAAGTCTTACTTGAGTAGAAAAGAATAAAGGAAGTTGGTAGCAAGTGGCCACGTTGCGCCCTTATTTTTTGGCGAACAGAGGTGCGTTTGTCCTGTCGTTTTTTGGCTCCTAGGTAATGCTAATAATTTTGTCTGCCATTCAGCAAATGGCATCGATTCTTTCGTGAGTTTTGACTCTCAACTCTTAAGCGCACTCCCACACACAGGAAGCTGAAGGTATCCAATGCCTTACCCTGTTTTAACGCCAGTTTTATAATTAATTGATCAGGTGAAGGATCTAGTAAATCTTATCGAAAGAACAAAAGTTGAACCCCAAGCAAATAGGTCGCCATTACCAACATATCATAAATCCAGTTATTCATTACTCATCAATGAACAATTAATTTAGAGTTCATTTAATTGACCGAAATTTTGACTTATAATAACATGACTCCCAAAAAGTTCAAAGAAAGAAAAAATGAAACGTCACAAGATTTATGAGATAAAAAGAAAAATTAGATTACCTTATAAAATTAAACCCAAAATTCGATATACCTACAAATAAAAAAAAAAAAAGAGAATAACAATACCATTTATTTTCTTTTTTCTTGAACAACAGGAAAGTATTATCTATGAACATATTCATAGAAGGCCTTATTAACGTTGGTCATTGCCGGCAATAGTCGAATGCAATTTAAGATTTGGTTGAGCATCATAGTAGAAGCTCGCATCCAAGAACACTGACAGTACTTCACCGCATTGAAACTCAGGGCCTTAGACTACCCTGATAGATGCATGAGAAATAAATATGGTAGAAAGTCTGATCAAAGACCCTTACGAGTACACTGGACTAATTTATGTTACAAGAAAAATTGGTAGCAAAGAATAGTAAATTCCCATGCAAATGCATTTAAATCATTGCGTCCGAGTCCAAGCAAAAGCATCATCATAATTTACACACAATAGGACCCCATTCATCTAATCACATTTAATTTCTACCAGAACTAGCCGTGAATGACTGGAAAATCCTGCACCAAACTCTCCTCACCCAAGAGGCCTTCGTGCATGCCGAATGGTTCAGTTCCTCCACTCTCTGTTCAATTAGTCGATGGGAAAGGATGTTTCCAAATTCCAATGAATGGAAGTTTTAAGGGCAAATGGCCGTTCGCTGAGTAAAACTGTAAAAGTAAACCCCGAGGTGCTCGAAAACAAAATTACCCAATATAAGAAAACAAAAATGATCAGCCAGCCAAGCAAGACGCAAATGGCTGATTATGAAACCATCAGGGAGCTTCTTGAATTTCTGAGAAATCGTATTCTGGTTCTTGCCTTCATAAACTTCAATTAATGATTGTATTGCTTTGGATATCACCTCTTTCTTTTGGTTGCCAACAGAATCACTTTCAATCCCAGTCTGAGCACTCGCCTCCCCCAGTGACGAGTATGGCATCTTAAACCAGTCCTCCAAGAAAGATGCTTTCTATTACACAAGAGGAGAATAAGCCAGAGTAGAACAAAATGGCAGTATTTGATTTCAACAGTTAATTGCATATAATGCACAAATATCGGCCATCCATGATAATGGGTCCTACAGGGGACCTGTGGGAGAACATATCCAATAATGGCAATGATTCGTTTAATACAAGCTTCCAGTTATGGGGATTTGGTCCCCTATGACAAGGAATGCTTACATTAGCATACAAGCTTTGTAGCAAAGCTATGTTCATAGTGCTTAATAGTCAATATCTAACAGAAACTTTATTAGGCCAAAGTTTCAAGTTGCTAAGTTTTAGGTGATTATTTTTAAGTCTTAGAAATTTGTCACTCCATGCAAAGTACCACGTTTTTCTAATTTGAAAGTGAGAAATCATTGATAGTAATAAAATAAAAACTATATGACAGACATGATTTCATATCAAGGTTCATTGAATTCATTCATAGCATTTGTGAATGTCAAATGAGGGAGGTTTAAAGCTTACTTTGACAAGAAAATCTTTCAGAGGTTGGTGATCAGTGGCTGAAGAAAGGCTAAGAATATGCAACAAGGTTGAAGTTAACTGCAATAGAAAAAGAAAATCCAATTAATTATCAGACATGGCTTAGTCTTAATCAACTGGGAACACTACAAATATCTTTTTCTGAAAATAATTAGTAATAAATGAAGCAATTCATTCCAAAATTGTCACGAAACTTCAGATTCACAGGAATTATTGTGGTTATGCTAATTTTTTCTCTTATTTTTCCTTAATTTAATACCATTGACCTGGATTAGATGATAAGCATGTGTTCAGAAACAGCAGAAAGTGCAAGATTCTCTAAATTGCATTATATCATTTCAAAAGACGTCATATGCACAAAATAACCTGCTTCTCAAGTGCAATCCTATATTTGAAATTTGATGGCTCCGAAATTAAGTCTGAACCTAGATTCTCCACTACATGCTCCAGCCCTTGGACAATGTCTGGGAAAGATTTACCATAATCTGCAACAAACAAAGTACGCAATGTCACAAATCCAGCTTCAAACTGTCAAACAATATGCTAATATCAAGCCAAGAATAAAATAGCTTTACATTGAAGTGAAGCACAAGAACTTTTGTGATAACTAATCCCAGTTAACAAGTCTAAGTTTAACCATAAATAATGATTGAAGGAGGCATCATTAATTTCAAGGCAAACAAAGCCACAATCGCATTTATAAACATGACAACATAGTAAGTATTCTACTACTCACCAAGTGCCGATGCTGGCACAGCCAACGCAGCAGCAGCTTGTATTCTGATCTTGAAATTTGAAGAATCACGTAGTAGTAATAGAAGAATACCAAAAATTGATGGAGCCCTGCCAAAAATGTGTACATGTATAGTTACAAATATATCTGAATTAGGTATCACATATTGTAGAAGGAAAACAAGTAGCTCATATCAACAAAACATGTGAAAAACATGGACATGATCTAGGAACTGTATAGAATATTTCCAAAGACCTTCAACTTTTAGCTTAAGATAAATGAGCAGCAAAGTCTTATTACTAATGAAACTCGAGTAAAATGAGAAATTTCTTAAAGGACAGTAATTATAATATTTATAAACGTAAAGAGAACAAAAGTTGAGGATTCTATGATTTATGACTTATGCCTGGTATGTTCATGATAAGCTCAGATATTTTATCCTTAAGAAGGGCTATCGATGTGTTTAATCTTATATAGAATATTTCTGAAGACCTTCAATTTTTAGCTTAAGATACACGAGCAGCAAAGTCTTATTACTAATGAAACCAAAGAGTAAAATGAGACATATATTAAAGAACAGAAATTATATATTTATAAATGTAAAGGCAACAAAAGTTGAGGATTCTATGATTTATGACTTATGCCTGGATATATTCATGATAAGCTCAGATATTTTATCCTTAAGAAGGGGTATCAATGGGTTTAATCTTGTAGTTGTTTAGGAACGACCAAAAAACTGTTTTTTTTTGCCAAAATAAAAAAAGGTTTAATATTAACCATTTTGTCTCGGGTAGGAACCATATACAAGTAGCAGGAAAGCATTTGCAAGATACAACCATAGAAAATTAACTGTTAAAAAGATCTTAGGGAGCCAAGCTAGTTTTCCATCCTCGAGCATCATTCCAAACATTAAGTTACAAGATGAAAAACATAGACAACAATTCTTACCTCCTCTTTTTTTTTTTTGATAAGACGGTTGGGAGTTTCCAATAAGCTTTGCTTGGGCCTAATCCCTTTTCTAGGCGATCTTAAGGGCATACTCTCCCTCATAGGCCTGGTGCATTCAGGATTTTACTTCCAGAATGGTCCCTACAAGAATCAAACGCAAGTTGACAAGGGGCTCCTCCCTTACCAACTTGACTAACCCTAGTGGTTTGCAACTTCCTCCTCTTATCAAATTGTGCAGGTTTTAAATGTAGGATTGGCTAACCCGTGGTAATGAAGACTGAGGCTAGAGTAGGTTTGGACACTCTTTATGCATGCCCAACTAATGTAAGAGCAAATTGCTCATAGAATAATATATCCAACCTTTTCTTTTGAATGGCTTATGATTATTGTTAACAACAGTATAAATCAAACTGTATTAACCAAGAATAGGCTAACATATTGGGGCAGTACTCGCAAGAATTTAAGCATGAAGATCATCATACCAATCCATATCCTGCAGTTGTATTGTCTTATTCAAAAACAGGTTGCTCAGCGCGTGACAGACATTCCATTGAACCTAGTAAATGTAAAGTCAGAATCAACTACGGATCATAGCTAAACAAACATTCATAAAGACTATATGCTAGCACCAAGTTGAACTTAATGTTCTCCAGAAAACCTACAATGCAAGTTAATACCTTGACATTCCAGCTGTAACACAAGAAATAAATGGTTGCACCATTCTCTCCAGCCAATGCAAGTCCTTCAACGATGATGGGTACGATGAATTTATTGCACCTCCATCAAAAGTGTTCAGATCACTTCTTGCTGGCAACATAGTAACATTGTTGCAAGTAGAAGAAAATTCTGTATTTGCCACTGGCTTATTATGCACGCATGATGAACATGTATATCTGACTTACAGCATTTAATTTGATCTAATATAAAGAAAAAGAAACGAGAAATAAAAGCTGAAAAATTTGCAAATTGATGCACTAAGAGGATACTTTACAATCTCTTCAAGAATACAAAAATTCATAAACTATTACTAGGCTGAATATTAACCAGTAATTACCAAAACAAAGTAAAAGCTAACATATGAGCACCCAAGATGCCAAGATCAATTATTGAGAATATATGAATAAATCATGGAAAGGGCCAAACACTTAACATAAACCATGGCATATGATAACATAGATGTATACAGTTAAATAGATAGTTCAATAAAAACAGGTATTCAAGGAAGCTATCTAGACAACCTTGATAGCATTGCACTTGTTCTTGGGCTAATATGGAAGAAATTCAAATGAAATGATTCATGTAGCTGACCCTACAAGCTCTGGATCGAAGTTTAATGAGAATACATTCTCACTTACAAAAAAATAATATTCACACAAATGGATTAAGATAAGACTAGGAGATGATGTAAAAGCAACAAAAAATAACTCCAAAACTGAGACATATATATACACACACACACATAGACATACATACATACTAAGATAAGACTAGGAGATGATGTAAAAGCAACAAAAAATAACTCCAAAACTTACATACATACATACATACATACATACATACATACATACATACGCACATACGCACATACGCACATACGCACATACGCACATACGCACATACACACATACATATGTATGTTCAATCCACTATGTGTTAAAAGATACAAACTAGCTTCTAAAAAATTTACACAGTCAACACCATAAACTCTTAAGAGTTATCCTCCCCCTTAAGCTCACAAACTCACAATACAAATTTTTTGAAATGTTTTTGCAAACTTAAAGCACCTCTCGTAGGTTGGGTGTTTGCTAATTTGAAGTACACAACTGTATTGACAAGGAAATTTAGAAAAAAATTGATACAAGATTTTTTGCACTTTCTCTCTTTGAATTGCTTTGAATGCTTGAACAAGATGGTAGGTGAATAGCAATAAGTTCTCTTAGCTCTTTTTTTTTTCTTGTTTTGCAGTGGAAGGCTTCATTTATAGGTAGGAAAAAGTTAAAAGCTATTACCTTGTATTTAATGCTTTAAACCTGCAAAAATTTCAGACAAAATATAGTCATTGGGGCTTTCTGGGACTCAGGGGATCAATCCCCTCCTTTAAGGGATTGATTGGGTCAACTTTGAAATACCCTAAAATCATGCATAAAAGGCCTTACCAATCGATCAGGTAATGCACATGATCGATCCATTCTTGGGTGATTGATCCCTATATGAGGGATCAATCCCTTTTGCTTATTCTCAAACGAGAAAAGCATTTTGCTTCAAAACAGATCGATTCCTTTAATGGAGGGATCGATCAGATAAGCTTGAAACCACAACCAATTGATCCCAATAGGGAGGGAATCGATTGATTCTTGTCAAAATTTTACGAAATTTGCTTCTGGAAGAAAGATGGATCGATCCCTTTGCTAGGGGATCGATCCTTTCCTTTAGGGATCGATCCCTTCTATCAAAACATGCATTAATCTTTTTTTGTTTCGAGAATTTATCTTGTTTTAGTTCTTAAATGACTTTTGGCAAAATAGAATAGTGGAAAAAATGTTTAATTTAAGAATAGAAGAGATTGATTCAAGTTAGACAAATTTTTTGTTTTGTCAAATCAAAACTTTTAATCAATTCAAGGGCAACAATCTCCCCTTTTTTGATATGACAAAACAAAGTGAAAAATTTGCTTAAAAACATTTTTTCATTTGAAAAACAAGCTCCCCTTGAATTTAAGCATAAATTTTAAGGCAACTAAAAGCAAAACCAATGTCATTTTGTTCATACAATCAAAATCATCAATATTATCAAAGATCATCAATACCATCAAAATCATCAAAGGTAATTTTTTAATGCCATTATCTCTCCCCATAGCAAAAAAGATGAAGTGAAGCAAAGTAATTCAAGGCCACACAAACTCAATATGACAACTTGAGTTCACACCAATCTCAATTGCAAGTAAGATCCCAATCATCAAACAAGATAGTAATTCACAAGCCACAATGTCACAAGCCGTATCATAATGAAAATGAAAAGATTTCATTAATCAAGTACCAAGGTTTGATAAAAACCACAATGCAAAGTGTTTTAAAGACAGATTTACAACATAAAAAGATGTGCAAAAACATGAGGAATGGCACTAGGAAAGCTCATTGAGGAGGATGCGAAAAATGAGGAGATTAATGGGGATGAGGAGAATGAGGGAAAGGCTGCCCCATGTGCTGTTGTGCAGACTGCAATTGCTTAATGTCGGCTCTAATTTGGCGAACTTGGGCAACTAGCTCATTTTGAGTTTCTTCCATATTTTCAATCGAGTGTTCATACTCCCAACCACGGAATGCAGACTGTTCATTTGAAGCATAAGCATTTCTAAAGCTCCTTGGGTGTCAAGTGGTGAGGTAAAATGTTCTCCTTGATGTTTAAGAATATCTGAAGTTTCATGCTCTTCCCCCTCTTCTTGTGCAGCCCTAATATCAGTTTTTCTAACTCATAATCCTGCTGCATTTTAAACATATCCCATGTTGTGCAAAGTACGAGCACCAAGAACACTAAATGAATCATTGAACATCATCTCCTTATCTCCTCTAGTATTGATATCCAATTTTCTCAAAAGATTATTAATGACAAACTCATAGACCAAGGTGTAGTCCCTATTTTGCACTACCCTTATCATATCATTAAAAATGAAATGCACCAAATTGAATTTTTGTTGATGCTTGATCTTATACATCCACCAGTAATCTTGCTTTCTAATGGTTGAGTGTTTGAGTGTCAAACGGTGCCAACACATGAGTGACGATAAAATGTAACAACCTATCATGCATTGACAATCTAGAAGCTTGAGTAGGAGCAACTTGTAAATTGTTATTTCTAAAAATATCTTGGGCTAGTGCCACCATGTCACACCTAGTATTGGTTTCTCTCTCATCATCAAGCATTAATACTTCTAATAATTGCTTGGTAACCATAATTTCTTTTTCCATCACATATGTTCTAAATCTATTAAGATAGCATCTAAGTGACCCTTCAATTTGAATACAACTAGCATTGCTATAAAATACCTTCATTAGATTCTCAAATAAAAACCCATCCATGCACAAGTAATTTATCTATCCAAAACTCTCAAAAGCATGTAAGAAAATTTTATAGATTGTAGGAATTCAAGTGAAATTACCCTTTCATGCTTGACTTCTCTATGTGCAAAATGTGTCTCATATCTTTCCTTTGCATCTGGATTAAAAATTTTAATTGAAAAAAGGCGTCATTGATGAGCTAGAAGCCTCCCTTGAGGGATTCCTCACTTTTTCAACAGTTACTTTAGTCTTGGAAGCCATGAGAATGATGGGATAATGGAGATAGGCAGGTTTATGTGAAATTGATGAGAGAATTGATGATTGTAAGTGATAAGAAGTAAACTACGTGGGGGAGAGGCAAGAAGGATGAATGAATATGGTAGTTTCAAAAGAGGATCAATTTCCTAAAGTGAAAAGAGGAAGTTGAGATTTTTGAGTGATTTGATGAGATTTAAGAAAGATTTTTGCAAGAAATCAAGTTAAAATGAAGGAATTTGCAAAAGATTTTGTTAAGAAGGATTAATTTTGAGTAAGAAATTAATGACAGTTCTTAGGGTTTGAAGAGAATGAGTTTGGGGAAGAAGAACAGGTGAAGAGACTGAAAGATCGGCCAAAGGAAAAGGGACCCGATTTGAACAAGCCAAAACGGTGCGCATAGTGCCCATTATACATGACCTGATCGATCGGTTGTGATAGGGATCGATCGGTTGTATGTTTGCATTGGACCGATCGATCGGTTATAATGGGAGATCGATTGGTTCTTCATGGTTTTAGCTAAGTTTGGCTACTAGATGCATACCCGATCGATCCTGCCCAAAAGGGGATCGATTGGTTCATCTATGTTTTCCCTTTAATTTGGCTATGGGGAGAATAACCAATCGATCCATTCCAAAAGGAATTGATTGGTTTTTGCTGTAGCATTTTTTTTTTTAAGGATTTAAAAACAATGTATCATGAGCATTCAAACATGTATCATACAATCATACACAAGCTTAACAAAAATATAGACATACATTTGATCACTCAAGATTGCAACATTCATCATAACATCAAGATATTCATTTTAAGGAGCATTCATCATACATGTATCATACAATCATACACAAGCTTAACAAAAATATAGACATACATTTGATCACTCAAGATTGCAACATTCATCATAACATCAAGGTATTCATTTTAAGGAGCATTCATCATACCAAGTTCACCTCTAATTGCATAAAATCTATCCTTATCAAGAGGTTTTGTGAATATATCAGCTAATTGATGCATGGTATCAACATATTCAAGCACAATATCACCCTTTGGACAAGATCGATCGGGTATGCATCCAGTAGCCAAACTTAGCTGAAACCATGAAGAACCGATCGATCCCCCATTATAACCGATCGATCCCCCATTATAACCGATCGATCAGTCCAATGCAAACACATAACCGATCGATCCTCCATCACCACCGATCGATCAGGTCATGTATAATGGGCACTATGCACACCATTTTGGCTTGTTCAAATCGGGTCCCTTCTCCTTTGGCCGATCATTTCAACCTCTTCACCTGTTATTCTTCTTCCCCAAACTCATTCTCTTCATTATAACCAATCGATCAGTCTAATTCAAACACATAACCGATCGATCCTCCATCACAACCGATCAATCAGGTCATGTATAATGGGCACTATGCACACCATTTTGGCTTGTTCAAATCGGGTCCCTTCTCTTTTGGCCGATCATTTCAGCCTCTTCACTTGTTATTCTTCTTCCCCAAACTCATTCTCTTTAAACCCTAAGAACTCTCACTCATTTCTCATTCAAAATTGATCTATCTTAACAAAATCTTTTGCAAATTCCTTCATTTCAACTTGATTTATTGCAAAAATCTTTCTTAAATTTCGTCAAATCACTCAAAAATCTCAACTTCCTCTTCTCACTCTAGGAAATTAATCCCCCTTTGAAACTACCACATTCACAAAGGAGGGGATCGATCACCTGAGTCCCAGAAAGCTCCAACGACTATATTTTGTTCGAAATTTTTGCAGGTTTGAAACATTAAATGCAAGGCAACGGCTCTTAACTTCTTCCTACCTATAAATGAAACCTCACTGCAGAATAAGAAAAAAATAAGAGCTAAGAGAACTTATTGTTATTCACCTACTATCTTGTTCAAGCATTCAAAGCAATTCAAAGAGAGAAAAGTGCAGAAAATCCTACTTGTATCAAATTTTTCCTAAATTTTCTTATCAATATAGTTGTCTACTTCAAATTAGCAAACACCCAACCTAAGAGAGATTCTTTAAGTTTGGAAAACATTTCAGAATTGTATTGTTTGTAAGCTTAAAGGGGAGGATAACCCTTAAGAGTTTGTAGTATTGATTGTGTAAAGCTTTGAGAAGCTAGGTTGT